GTCGTCTGCAGTCGCTCCCGCCGGGCTGCCGTCCGGTCCGTCGTCGGCGTAGCTCAGGCAGATGAGGTAGGACGGAGACGGCACCTCCAGCTCCGGGTCGGCAAAGAAGCGGCGCAGGAAGCCGCGCGAGAGCGACGTCTTGCCGGCGCCGAGCTCGCCCGAGAGGAAGATGACGTCGCCGCGCTCCACGACCTCAGCGAGCTGAGCACCCAGCAGCTCCGTCTCCTCGACCGAGCCGAGCTCGAGCTCGAGCGTCGCCGCCGTCATGAGAGGTAGCTGAGGAGCCCGCAGACGGGACAATGGGTCGTCCGCGTGTGGCAAAAAGAAACACGACGTCCCACACACCTCCTTCCCCTTCCCCCTCAAGACCCTCAAGGACGAGGACACACACAGGACGCACCTCTAGCGAGGCCCGGATAGCATGTAGGAGACTCCTGCCGCCGCCCCTGCCACCCCTGTAAGTGTGCCTGTGGCAGCGAGAGACTGCCAGTGAGAAGCTGGAGGCAGGTCGCTAGACTGAGATGAGACCGCCAGTGGAGTTGGGAGTCCACCGTGCACCGCGCTGCGAGCCTGTCGTGTCCCTTGTCAGGAGCAGGAGAGCCCCACCTGAGGGAGGGTGTAGAGGATGTAGAGATAGAGTGTGAGCGCTGTAGAGCTGTAGAGGTGTAGAGCGCTGTAGAGCGCTGTAGAGCGCTGTAGAGCTGTAGAGCTCTACATCCGCCGCGTGACGAACTGCGTGCGTTGTAGAGCGATGTAGAGGCGCTCTACAACGTGAAATGCCTCACGGCTGCGACTGGCCGGCGCCTCGGCGCGTCAGCTCGGCTCGGCGTAGCGATAGTGGCCAGCGCAACTCGCCTGGACTCAACGCTCAGCCACGGAGCTCCCGCACGCGCTGGCGCGAGGCATGGCGCATGCAAGCCAACGCGTCTGAATGCTCGCCTCGCCTCGCGCAAATGCGACCGTCCTCGCAGCCGACAGTCCACCGCCTGCTAAAGAAGCACAGCGACGAATGCGGCACCGGCGACGCATGGCAGGCTGGTCATGACGCAGTTATAGGGTGTGTTGTGTGCCGTCAGAGGGACTCTCTGTGTGTCAGGGATAGTCAGGGCCGTCCATCAGAGCTCCAGTAAGCTCGGAGACACCCCATTAGCGCGGCTCGACCTCTTTGAGTCACTGCCTTCCCGGCGGTTTGGCTGTAGAGCCTCTACAACAAACTCTACAGCAAAATCGCGCTCTACATCGCTCTACAACGCACGCAGTTCGTCACGCGGCGGATGTAGAGCTCTACAGCTCTACAGCGCTCCACAGCGCTCTACATCTCTACAGCTCTGCAGCGCTCTACACTCTACATCCTCTACACCCTCCCTCAGAGCCCCACCTGGGGGTGCCCCTGATCGTCCTTCCAAAATCCTGCTCGTGCAGGTGGGGAGCCTGTCCTCCGCTCCCCCATCCCTCGTTTGGGGTGTCTGTTTTCTTTTTCTTTCTTTCAGGCTCGACACAGAAAATGAATTCGACCCAAAAGCCAAAACAGGAGCAGTCACACACCAGTCACACACCGACTCCCACTCCGCTCTCCGGCGCCCGCCCCACCCCACCCCGCGACATCCCCACCCCACAACCCCACCCCACCCCCCGTGGCCGTGAGCTAGCCCCCGCGTGCCGAGCCCGACGGCAAACCCCGCCCCAACCCCGCCGACCCGACCGCCGAGATCCAGCCGGAGCCGCCCCCGGGTCTCTCCGCCCCTCACAGTCCGCCTCAGAAAATAAAAAAACGCCAGACATAAATACCAATAACCATCGACGTTTGACAGTTGACACTAGCCCGCCGTCACCGGGACACGACCAACGACGCGGCCGTCTCCGCTCCCCGGCCGAGAGCCGTCCGGCCATCACGTACACCGACCGGCCTGCCTCCCTCTCCTCCCCCCGCCCGACCCTCCGGGATCATGTCTTCTGCTTCTTCTCCGCCCCGTTGGCGGTCCGGCTGCGGTTGCCAAACTCGAGCGTCTTTGCGTCGAGGCCGAAGGCAGAGGGCAGCACGCACTCGGAGGCGTGCTTGCCGTCGATCTTGCCCGAGGCGGTGAGGTACTCCTTGCCGATCAGCTTCTGGTTCCACAGGATCATCTTGTCGATGCACGGCACCGCGACGCCCACCATGT